GTGACTTGGCGCATTCTGATTGGTCTCCAGACGGCGTTTGACGTCCGCACAGAATTTGGTCTCCAAACTATCTATAGCATCCTATTAAAATACAACTATATTAAGAGAATGAAACATCTCAATATGATCCTTAACTGACACAAAAAAACACTTTTGGCATAAAGAAAGAATTAGGTTTTATTTGGCATAACTTTCTTATTGTTTTCTAAAATAAATTTTTAGAACAAGAATATTTTGAACTAAAAATTCTTATTCTAAAATGTTAAATTTAAGGAGCGTGATTTTTAATTAAATTAGAAATAGGAACATAATATTAAACAAAATTTAAAAAGAAGCAAATGAGCCTAACAAAATAGCGCATTCCATTGAATGCACCAAACTATTTGGCTTATTTAGAATGCGTCAAATAATTTGGCGCATTCAATGGAATACACCAAATAGTTTGGTGCATTCCATTAAATGCGTCAAACTGTTTGGCGCATTGCTACAGTAATTTTAAAATTTAATTCGGTTGATTGGGCTGAATGCACCAAATGATTTGACGCATTCTAAAGAATGCACCATTCTGTTTAGCTAATTTGCTTCTTTTTTAATTTTTTTAAATACATGGTCCTATTGATAATCTAAATTAAACATTATGCCTCTATTTATAATATTCCGATTTAAAAAATCATTAAAAAAATTGTACCATATCATATGAAAGCTTGAAGTTGTATTATTGCCGGTTTAACCCGCAACATAAATCAGCTGGACGAATCGTTGCCAGTAAAACCGGACAGAAAAAAAAAAAAAAAACTTTGTTTATGTATATATTATTTTTGGGAATATTAGGGCCAAGCCCAAAACTTTGCTAATATTAGAAAAAAACACTGTCGCGGTCGAAAATTTGGCCTTCCTAAAATAGTGTAACTTTGAAATGAAGAAAAACAAATATAAATTAAGTCAAAGTTTGCAGCAAGAATCTCAATGGCGACTTCTACTGTTCTACATTTTTTTTTTTATAAAATACTTTTAAATCTAATTATTTTAAAAAAATTTCATAAAAGGGCCAGCTTAAAATGCAAGTTCATAACTTAAAAGAGTTGAGCCTGAGTTCTAGCCACCCTCGATTAATCGAAGCTCGGGGGGAACCCCTGTCAGCAATTGCCACCCTATATTTATGTATATGATACATCGTACAAAAATTAACTTGATCGGGCACGAATCTTAAAGCAAAATCAAGTTGGAAACTTCCGAAATTAAAATCAGGAGCATCTGAACTCCGATTTCATCAAACTTACTGTCGAACTGAGCGACTTGAAACGAACCCAACGACACCAAATTCGACCCAATCCGACCCTAAATGGGATCCAAATCAAGGACCCGAAGCGCTGTTGGAAGGTTCAAACCACAATTGGGATTACCAAACGGTTTCCAAACATAACAAACTTCAGTCGAATCGAGCGGCTCGACGAGACGAATCTAACGAGCCCAAGATCACTGAATTCCGACATCACTAAGACATTCAAATGTCCATCAAACGGTTCATGATCAAGGGATTCAAGATCGGCCCGTCCATCCAACCACTCTCAACTTACCCTTGATCCTCCACCTATTTACAGGCCATGCCATTCCAAAAATCTATAAATAGAGCTCCCTCTCCTCTTGAAAAGGGACCCCTAAGCCTAAGGAAAAAAGAGAGAGATCGGAGAGCGCTCTTGCTTCCTTGCCTCCTCGACCACCGTCGGACTTCCGCCGGACCACCACCTGACGTCCTGTGTTCTGCCGGACCACCACTTGAGGTCTTCACCTCCGCCGGACCACCGCTTGACGGCGTTGTTCTGCCGGACCACCATTGGAGGCCCTCACCTCCATCGGACCACCACTTGAGCCTCACATCCGCCGGACCATCGCCTGACGTCGTTGCTCCACCGGACCACCGCTTGAGGTCCTGCACTTTACCAGGCCACCACCTAAGACTCGGACTTTCACCGAACCGTCACTTGAGGCCTTGTGCTCCACCAGGACGCCACTTGAGGCCTGGACTTCTGCCGGACCACCACATGTGGCCCAGACTTCTGTCGAACCATCATTTCAGACCCTGTGCTCCATCAAAACATCACCTGAGGCTCAGACTTCCGTCGGACGACTACTTGAGGCCTTGAGCTCCACCATACCACCACTTGATGCCCAGAGTTCTCTCAGAATATTGCCGACCTCCATCACTAGACAGTGGTCTTTTTGACTTTGGTCTCCTGCCGACTACGGTCATTCTGACCTCCGTCACCTACGATGGTCCATCCGACCTCCATCACTAGACAACAATCTTTATGACCCTGGTCTCCTGCCGACTACGGTCTTTCTGACCTCCATCACCTACTATGGTCCATCCGACCTCCATCACTAGATAATAGTCTTTCTAACCCTGGTCTCCTACCGACTACGGTCCTTATGACCTCCGTCACATACGTCCATCCGACCTCCATCACTAAACAACGGTCTTTCTGATCCTGGTCTCCTGTCGACTACGATTCTTCTGAGCTCCGTCACCTACTATGGTCCACCCGACCTCCATCACTAGACAACGGTCTTTCTAACCCTGGTCTCCTACCGACTACAATCCTTCTGACTTCCGCCACCTACTATGGTCCATCTGACTTCCATCACTAGACAACGGTCTTTCTGACCCTGGTCTCCTGCCGACTACGATTCTTCCGACCTCCATCATCGGACAACTGTCTTCCCGGTCTCCATCTTACTGACTATGGTCGTGCCGACCAAACAAACATGTCTATATTATAACTCCCACCATGTAATGCACTCTAGATGATGTACATTTGTATCATCAAGCCAAGGCCTTCTCCAAATGAAGGGCCTCATTTGTAATCCACAACTAATACTAGTGGATTCATTCAAACTGGGCTAGGCCTCGTGGTTTTTCCCTCTTTTTAGGGGTTTTCACATAAAACTCTGGTGTCTCTTATGAATGTTACACCCTCTCACTTATCTGCTTGTGTGCTGAATCTTTGTACAACGCTAAGACGTTAAACAATAAATTTCTCTACCGCCGCGAATACTCCAGGACGCAACAATATATATATTATTTAGATTATTTGTTTCCTTTCCATCTATTTTTTAATTTTTATTACTAATATTTTAGGCAATTGCCTAAAAATCTTTACGTGGTTTGAACAAATAGGGATCACTATTGACCTATTTTCTTGTAATGAAGGGTCGAACCAAATTCTAGGCAACACCAATATTTACCCATAAGTTTGCTTCCCTGAAAATTAAGGCCAATTCCGCCCCTAGGCTCGAGTTAGCTCATTTATCATTAAAAAAAATGTTATTATTCACGCAATTGTTATAATTGTATGGTGACAAGAACAAATATTAAATAAAAATTGATAGAAATTTATTTAAATAAGAAGGTAAATATTAGTTAATATTTTTTAGTAATTTTATATCAATTTGTTGAATATTTATATATTTTAAGTATATATAATATTAATAGTTTTTAAATAAGCCTACTGAGGAGTTGAGGAGTCAAGTTAGAATAATTCAAATTTGACTTATTAGCTAATCAAATTCAATCCACAAATCTTTTATTAAAGTTCTATTTGGTACAATTTTTTCTTTATTTTAATATTTAGATAACAACTATAATTTTAGTTGACTATTGCTTTCTCACTGCTTTATAGAAATTTTTGTGATAGGAAATTTTTTTATGATCAAAATAACAAATTTCTTTTCTCATAACAAATTCACCATCAACTTTATTAAAAAACTCTGCCTAAAGTCAAGCCTAAGCCAGCTTAAGATTTAGCTTGAGTAAATTACACCCCTAATTAGAGAAAAATTAATCTGTGTGGACGTCGAACATCGACTGGAGACAAATCAGAATGCGCCACATCACACATGTGCTCGGTACCACTAACGTGAGGCATTCTAATTGATCTCCAGATAGAATTTTGTGTCCGATCTCCCCACATAATCATTTCTCCTAATTAGGAGAGACTTTAGATTCATTAAAAAAAAATAAAAAATTCGGATGCAGAAAAAAGCTCACAAATAAATTGTCAAATTTTATTTTTTTTTCGACTTATAAATTAAGGCTCTTTTGGTGGACAGCTTTGTAGCTGCTTCTTAAATCAATTTTTAAATATAAAAATTTAAAAAATTGATTTAAAAATTAATAAAAAATCCGTCTGAAAAGAGAGCCCATACCCCTTAATAAATAGCAAAGCTCCCAAATCTTGACTTCGAGTCTACAAAGCTTTGTTGTATATATGTATGACACGGTGACCCCTTAATTTCCTTACATATTTCCAATTTTTATACTGCACTATCAAGTTTATGCATAGTTATAGGAATAAAAAATAATAACAAAGGATTAAAAATAATAATTTTGTTGCATCTACTTTATATACAATATCATATAATATTATAAATTCACTTTGGCCTAAAAGAAAAGAAAAAAAATCCAAAAAAGCGAAAAAAAAAAGCCATTTCACAACAAACAACAAATCATCAAATGTACAAAGATTCACTATTCATTCAAGAATAGTAAACCTAATTCATTCAAGAAAAAAAAAAAAAGCTTAGAACATCTTTATATTAATCTCAATGTAATTTCAAATGTTTCATATTTATGTTTTAATAAGAGAAATTATTCTGCGCTGACATTAAACGGTCCAAAGAATAATCAGAACGTTCCACATCACTCAATACAAAGCAGTACCGAACAAAAAAATGATGCGGTACGTTCTGATTGTTCTTCGAACACCGTCCGGTGTCCGCACACAATATTTTTCTTTTTTGAGACATCATTCTTATTGCTTTCTAGTACCAAAATTTTGTGAATTTTGAAAAATTATTTTAAAAAATAATAAGAAACAATCTCAAATGAAATCTTAATCTGATGGATTTTGAGTCATGCTATTCTTAAATAATTTTTCATTAGTAATAAAACAGATATATGAGAATATTCTCATGTAAAACATACAGGAGGACTAAAAATCTCTTGGAATTTAAACTAAAATTAATATAATTCGAAATATCAAGTAATAATCTTAACATAAAATCAAAACTTTTGAAGTTCATCTCAATAAATTTTGCAGGAAAATATGTTGGACATAATGTTTTTTTGCTGCCATTAATTTCCCCAACTTACTTCTGCCTGTAAGCGATATAATTTGCGAGGTGAAGCAAAGGCGCCGACTTTAACGGATCGAAGCCCTCAATCTGTGACTTTGCATCTTGGAGAAGTTCGTCGGCGAACTCCCTCGACTTGTCCAGTCCCAGAAGCTTCGGGTAGGTGGTCTTGTTACTGGCCAAGTCCTTCGCCGCCGTTTTACCCAGCTCCTCCGACGATTTGGTCACATCAAGGATATCGTCCACCACCTGGAAAAGCAACCCGATGCACCGAGCATAACGCCTCAAACGCTCGACCTCCAAATCGGAGCCGCCGCCGACCATGGCTCCGATCACAACCGACGCCTCCAGTAGAGCCGCGGTTTTATGCAAGTGAATGAACTCGAGCCGATCGATATCGACGGGATGTTCTAGACCGGTGGACTCGATGTCGAGCAACTGGCCGGCGACGAGACCCTCCGCGCCGATGCAGCGGGCGAGCTCGGCCGTAGCGCGGACAAATATGGCAGGGGGAATTGGGTTGGAGGAAGGGTAGTTACCGAGATCGACGAGATGGCGGAAAGCGAGGGCGAGGAGAGCGTCGCCGGCGAGGACGGCGACGGGTTCGCCATAGGCGCGGTGACAGGCAGGCTGCCCACGCCGGAGATCGTCGTTATCCATACAGGGGAGATCGTCGTGGATGAGAGACATGGTGTGAATCATCTCGACCGAGCAGGCGGGGGGAATCGCTAGGGCCTCGTCGCCGCCGACGATTTCGCAGGCAGCGATGCACAGTGCCGGGCGGATGCGCTTTCCGCCACCTAGGAGCGAGTATCGCATCGCTTCGTGGATACGCTTCGGGTGCACTAGGGGAATCGCAAGATCTAGGGCTCGATTTACAGATTCCGCCTTGCTCAACAAGTAACCCTTGAAATCGAACTCAGTTGTGGCATCGAAAGGGGCGGAAGTTTCGGCGTTGATTTCGACCGCGTTTGGGGAAGTGAAAGAGAGAGAAAGCGTGCGTGATGGAGCCGGCGGCATGGAAGGGGAGCGAAGGACGCTGTAACCCATCGGGTTAAATGTGAGTTGAAGAAAGGAAGCCATGTAAAGCGGCTGCTTCGAGCTGCTTTTGTGCTGGATTATAAAGCTAAAATTAGAAGCTTTCAGTTCTGTCAGAGAACTTTATATTCTTTTATAGGAAGGAAGAGGAAGAGGAAGAGGGAGAGGAGGAGGAGGCGGAGAAAGAGCTACTGCCGTTGAGAGCCGCGGCCATCGGAGATTGGGCAAGGAAGAGGAGAGGAGATGCTCAAAAGTGGTTCGTGGAGGAGGTACTTATCCAATCGTTGCATATTTTATTATATTTATTTATCTTAATTTTTTTTTCTATTACGCTGCTCTCATTTCTTATGTCCAGAGTTTATTATTTCTTTTATTTTTGAATTATTTTAAGTGATAAATACCTTAAAACCATCGTTGAGAAATATTAGATTAAATTTATTTGCATTGAAATTTATAAAAAGAATTACTTTAGATTATTTTGATATATATATATATATATATTGTTGTGTCCTGGAATATTCGCGGCGGTAGAGAAATATTTATTTTAGCGTCTTAGCATTGTACGAAAATCCAGCACACAAGCAGATAAGTGAGAGGGTGTAGCATTCATAAGAGACACTAGAGTTTTTACGTGGAAAACCCCTGAAAAGGGGGAAAAACCACGGGGCCTGGAAAAGGGGGAAAAACCACGGGGCCTGGCCCAGTTTGAATGAATCCACTAGTATTTGTAGTCGATTACAAATGAGGCCCTTCCTTATGAGAAGGCCTTGGATTGATGTAGCAAATGTACATCATATAGATTGCATTACATGGTAGGAGTTACATATACAGGTTTGTTTGGCCTGAAGGACCGTAGTCGAGACCGTAGTCGGCCGGAGACCGTAGTCGGCCGGAGACCGTAGTCGGCCGGAGACCGTAGTCGGCCGGAGACCGTAGTCGGCCGGAGACCGTAGTCGGCCGGAGACCGTAGTCGGCCGGAGACCGTAGTCGGCCGGAGACCGTTGTCTGGTGATGGAGGTCGGACGGACCGTAGTAGGCGATGAAGGCCTGAAGGACCGTAGGCGGTAGGAGATAAGGAGTCAGGTGTTAGTCCCAGTGTCACTTGGAAGATCGGATGTTGATGGTCTAGCCTTGAGTAGGACGTCGGGTCTTAAGCAGGACGTCAGGTCTTAAACAGGACGTCGGGTCTTCAGCAGGACGTCGGGACTTAACGTCGGGCCTTGAACAAGACGTCGGGTCTTTGGAAGGAAGTAGGGACTGAGTGTCAGGCCTTGAACAAGACGTCGGGTCTTTGGCAGGAAGTAGGGACTGAGTGTCAGGCCTTGAACAAGACGTCGGGTCTTTGGCAGGATGTAGGGACTGAGTGTCGGGCCTTGAACAAGACGTCGGGTCTTTGGCAGGACGCCGGGGATGAACGTCGGGCCTTAAGGTGGTGGTCCGGCGAGGTTTTGTGGTGGTCCGGCGAGGTTCCTGCGGTGGTCCGGCGAGGTTCTGCGGTGGTCCGGCGGTGGTCCGGCGGCTGTCGAGGAGGAACTCCTTCCTTCTCTTCTCTTCTTCTCTCTCTTGCTTAGATCCTCTCTTGTGAGAAATGAGGGCTCTATTTATAGATTTTCTGGAGTGGCATGGCCCGTAAATAGGCATGAGATCAGGGGCGAATAGGGAGTGGTCAAATGGACGGCCGATATTGAATCCTACGATCGTGCACCGTTCATTGGACATTTGAAGGCCTTAGTGATGTCGGAATTATGTGATCTTGGGCTCGTTGGATTCGTCTCGTCGAGCCGTTCGATTCGAGTATAAGCTCGTCAAAATCGGAGACCGTTTGGTAACTCAAATTGCGGTTTGAACCTTCCAACAGCACTTTGAGCCCTTGATTCAGACTCATTTGGGCTCGGATTGGGTTGATCTTGGTGTCGTTGGGTTCGTATTTCCGAGACGCTCAGTTCGACTATAAGCTTGCTGAAATCGGAGTTGGGGTGCTCTCGGAATTAATTTTTGAAGTTTCCAACTAGCTTTTGCCTCGAGATTCGTGCCAGATCAAGCTAATTTTGTGATGCCGTATCAGTTGCCCCCCTATTTTCGGACGTCGAAGCTTCAGGAGTCCGAAAATACTTGTTCCGAAATTTTACATTGGCCGAATCGCAAAAAATTGCGTTCCAAAAATTAATGGCTTGCTCAAACTTAATCCTAGAGGCCTCGTTGAGCTTCAAAAGTGTCGAAATCGAGTCCGGAACGTCGAAAAACGTATCCGGGGACCCCAAAAACGTCCGAATCGGACTGTCCGGGCCGAAAATCGGGCCCGGACACGCGTTGGCGGCCGAACCGGCCGGCCGGCCGGCCGGCCGCCTGCCGCCGCACGCCGGCGGCGGCCCGCGTGCCGCGCGCGAAACGGCGCGACCCGCGCGGTCTGGCGCGGTTAGCCGCGCGGTTACAGTAAATTTTTTTTTTTTTTTTTCAAGTGGGGCCCACATGGATTTAAAAAATCCGAAAAAATTCCAGAAAATTCCAAAAAAATTCCGAAAAAATTCTGAAAAATTCAGAAAAATGTGGGAAATTCGAAAATGCTGGAAAAATCTAGAAACTTCCCCTCTTCTCTCCAAAAACCTATAAATAGGCCCCTAAGGCCTTTAGAAAAATTGTCTCTTCTCCCTTCTTCTCCTCTTTTCTACTTTTCTTCTTCCCCTTTCTTCTTTTCTTCTTCTTTTTTCTTTTCTTCTTCTGCTCTCCCTCTGTCCTTTCTATTGAGGCCTTCCCTCGATTTTTCGAGGCCCCTCTCTTGGCAAGGAAGTTCGGAGATTTCCCCTCCTTCTCTTCTCCCTCTGTCCTTTCTATTGAGGCCTTCCCTCGATTTTTCGAGG